GGGAAACCCCGCTCCCCCAGCAATTCCCCACCTCAGGGGGGTCACTCCATCTCGCCGAGGTCCCCTAAAGCCACCAAGGTGTTGGGGTGACGCCCTCCAGCCACCAGGAGAGCTCAGTTGAACGTAAAACTGTAATGGAAGGTCCCTGATTGGAAATGATGGGCGTATGATTTATACTGAATGATTTATAACATGTTAAGTGATGATTTAGGTAGAAAATACAACCCCCCTCTTAACAGAATCCTTAATGAAAAGTGTCAGTTCTCATGAATTTATTTCCGAAGCTGTGTTTGAACTCGGCGCGTTTGACATAAATCACGTCTTAATTGTCATTTTATGATTAATGAACATATGCTGGCCGTTTTTCTCCGTAATTAAACTTTATGTTCCATTCGTCTGGCGAAGCAAAACAAGTTTACGCGTCGGGATGTGCTGGTTCTTCAGGTCTCTGTATGAGCAAGTGCCTGGATTTCCAATTCCCAGGTGAGAGCTGGACAAGAGACTCGTGGACGTTTTGCAGAAAGTCAGGTTTACCTTGGCTGAGAAAGCTGCTGTGGCACCGTCCTTCACAGAATTACAGAATCTCAGATTTAGGGCTTGGAAGAGACCTTCAAAAGATCATCTAGTCCAACCCCCCTGCCAGAGCAGGATCACCTTTTTAAGACAGCGCTGCTCTTTAAGTGGCGGTTACGCTGCTCGGGTAACGCTGGGCACCCCTCCGGTGGCGATGACCGAGCCAAACGAACCCAAGGTGGTTTGTGACCACTCGGTCCCTTGGCTCCCGAGGAAACAGAGGTCCTGGCCTGCGCGGCTCCAGAAATCTCCAACTCCAAGGGGCTTCAGGGAACGGGAGGCTCCGGTGTGAGGGGGTTCTCCACACCCCTAGTGAAGAGCGGCTGAGGGAACTGGGTTTGTTTAGTCTGGAGAAGAGGAGGCTGAGAGGAGACCTTATTGCCCTCTACAACTACCTCAAAGGAGGCTGGAGTGAGGCTGGTGCTGGTCTCTTCTCTCTAATTACTAATGGCAGGACAAGGGGAAATGGCCTCAAGTTGCGTCAGGGTAAGTTTAGATTGGATATTCGGGGGAAGTTCTTTCCTGAACGAGTGGTGAGGCACTGGAACAGGCTGCCCAGGGAGGTGGTGGAGTCACCAACCCTGGAGGTGTTTAAAAACAAAGTAGATCTGGCACTTGAGGCTGTGGTGTAGTGGTTGGGTGTGCTGGGATGAAGGTTGGACTGGATGATCTTCAGAGGTCCCTTCCAACCCCTAACATTCTGTGACGCCAGATCCCCGGGCTCCTGCGTGGGCGTCTCTTATTCCCACCACTTCCACATTGAGGGAATAATAAGAGTCTTCTTCTTTCAGGACATAGACAAGTTTGGCAACGAGATCACGCAGCTGGCCCGCCCGCTTCCAGTTGAATACCTAATCATAGATGTAAGTATTCGCTGCGCTCGCTTGCTTTCAGCGGGAGGTGGTCAGGGAGGAGTGAAGTCCTCGACCCACCTCCAAAATTCACGCTGGGAGGTGGTTCATAAGGCAGATTTTCTTGCTTTTTCCTTTTCTGCTCTGCTGCCAGGCATTTCTAGGACAGAGGGGCAGAAGCGGAGCGCTCCGGGGTGGCTGCAGGGGGTCGGTGTGGTGCCAGGGAACACGCTTGCTCCCCAGGAAGGCGCTGCCCGGTGCCTTATCGCGGCTCCGAGCTGGCGCGTAGCCACGCCGCAGGGGAAGCGGCCAGCCCGGTGGGTACGTGTGCCGGGCGCTGCCTCGCAGAATGCTAATTAGAAAGCTCCCGTTGTCTGTCTCTGAGCAGCAATTAAGAACCCATCTCCTTTTCAGTGACTCAGCAGACATAGGTCCGTGTTTCTGAAATGCCTTTTCCCGGGAACGGGAGTTCACGGGACAGCGCAGCTTGGCTGGAGCGGGGCTGCTGCCTGCCCGCGAGCGAGCGCTGCCAGGCGCCGGGGCACGGCTCTGCCCTTTGGCTTGGAAAGGAAACCGTGCGGTGCGGAAAGCAGGAAAGCAAATAATTCGGATGACAGATGATGTTGCCGGAGTTAGGAGGTGGTGCCAATAACGATTAAATCCACCCGGAGCGACTGGGCTGGTCCAGCTGCCCCTGGCACGCGGGAGTTGGCAGCCGGGACCGGCCCGTCCTTCTTCCCCCGTCTGCGCCTATCACTTATCAGAGCGGCTCTGGGGCTGGTGCTCGGACGTGCGACTCACACGGAGAAACGGTGTGTCTGGAACAACGGGCCCGTTGTGTGGGCCCTTGGCTGCCTCGTGCCGCTCGGCAGAGCCGGAGCGTATTTATTACTCGAGTAGCAGAGACATCTGTTTCTGGGCTACCTGGGGTGTAATAAAGATGAAAACAGATTGATGGAACATACACTTAGGAGCAGTCTGGAAAGCTGCACTTCTCAAACATCTTTTTTTTTTTTTTTAAAGAGGCATTATTCCAGTTCATACTGTCCTTAATACTGTCCTGGTGGGTATTTCTGCATCTCTGCTTACAGAGGGTGTCACCGACAGTCAGTCACTGACACCAAAGCTTTAAAGCCCCCAGTGTCAGGCTGGGTTTAAATGTCAGCAGCTGGCCCCAATGCTGGCTTGGGAGCGGCGTTTTCTGACCCTGCTCCTCGTCCCTTTGGCACAGGGTGCCGGGAGGAGGCAGGGCGCTGGCTGGAATGTCACTTTAAATGTTAAAAGCCGTCGGAATATCCCTGCTGTAGTTGCCTCGCTGTCTCCCTGGCTGAGCTCTGACGTGTAGCCGTGGCCGCTGTCGCCTAGCGGGAGCCTTCCTTCCCGTTACTCCGCTTCGCTTCTGCTGTTGCCAGCACCCTGATGGCCCTTTCTTGGATTTTTAGATCACTACAACGTTTCCCAAGGATCCAGTCTACACTTTTTCTATTTCTCAAAATCCATTCCCCATCGAGAACCGCGACGTGCTGGGAGAGACTCAGGTAAGGAGCGATTCCCAACGAAGCCGCGTCTCGCGCAGATCGGTCATCCACCTCCCTGGTGTTTACCGACGCCCGCGAAGGGCCGGCTGCGGCCGTGCCCTCAAATCACCCGTTACGGGTTCAGCCCAGCGCTTGCCAAACACCTTCCTGCGCGGAGCGGTGGCAGCGTGCCCGTGAGCCGGCTCAGCATCCGCTCGCTGACAGGGACCAGGGCTCCTCGCTCTCTGCCGGGGCGGCACCAAAGAGGTTTAGGGGGGGCTCCAGCCCCACGGTGACAGTAGGGGACTTGCATCTCCCAGGCTAAGGTCTGTCACTGCAGCTCTGAGAGCATCAACTTCTCTTCCTGGGTGGATTTTTAAAATTCAGAGGCTTTTTCCTGCAAGGGGCCCATAGTGTTGAGCAGAGGCAGCTGCTGGACAGTTCGAGGCAGTCACCGGGTGTTGCCAGCACACAAGGCTGGAGTAGCTTTAGTGCAGCAAGAGCTCGTTTTTCTGAGGAGGCCATGATGAAGACGTCAAAACTTCCTCCAGAAGCTGTCACGAGTCACTGCTCGCTGCAGCTCTGTCGGCAGAGCGAGAGGGATTGGCCGTTCAGTGACGGATTTAGTCCTCGCTTCTGAGGACGCCCTGGGTTCAAGAGGAGAGAAAGAGGAGAAGGGCGAGGAAGAAGGGGCTGCTTTGTCCTTATCTGCCTCTTTTCTTTACGGACTGGGCTTTGAGCTGGGCTCTGCCCAGCATCTCTGAGGTCTGGGATGCACTGGGGTTGTTCAGGAGAGCTCCTGGGGACCCAGAGATCTGTTTCCCTGGGATTTGGTAGCTGCTGCTCAGCCAGCCTGGGATGTGATTTTGGGAGGGTCTCTGCTCGTTGCAGCCAGTGACCAAAAGAGAGAGGAATGTTAATGGGTCTGAATGGGAGAATAAAGTTACCACGTGGGGCAGAAGTGACTTCTCTTTGTTACTGTTCCCTCTCTCTAGGACTTCCACAGCTTGGCCACGTACCTGTCCCAAAATACTTCCTCCATTTTCCTAGACATCATTTCCGATTTCCATCTGCTCCTCTTCCTGGTCACGAACGAGGTCATGCCTCTGCGGGTACGTAACGGGGAGGAAAGGGCCCCCCCAGGGCCCCGAGCTCCTCCAGGCATGTCGCTCGGGGTGCCTGGAGGTGACAGACCCAGCGTGCCACCCCTGGGCAGGGCCCCTGGCCGGGTGCCTGCACAGGACAGGCCGTGCAGCTGGCCCGATGCCTTTTCTCCCAGGCTGAGCTGTTGGTAGAAGGTTTAAAAATCCAAACCAAAGCCCCTGACTAGACCACGAGGTCTCACCACGCTGCTCAGAGCAGTGAGGGGGTGGTGGTTGTCGCAGACCGGACAGAGCCAACTTGGCTGCGGCTTGAAGAGCTGGAAACGTTTTTAAAAATATCACGGAATCAGAAATTCCTGTTGTAACGATACTGAGATTGGAGCCCCCTAAATCTTGGTGAGGCCAACAGCTTCCTGGCTGTGCGGCTCTGCCGCTCTTGGCCGGGTACAGAGGGGTTTGGCGGCCGCTCGGGCCCCCGGCTCACTTTCGCAAAAAAAGACCTTCCCGTGTAAGCAGCACAGCGGCCAAAAACAGCCACATGTTAGCCCGAGGCTTTGAGGGCGCTGAGGTCCCTGTGGGGTGGCTGGGCTCACCCTGGGCGGCTGGAGATCAGGTGGGGGGAGCAGAAGGAATAAACTGGATCCTGCTCTCTACCTGTGAAGCTCACTGGGGCCTTTTAGAAAGGGCCAGCAGCTCAGACTCACGACTCCTTGTCGCTGGAGGAGGAGCGTCCAACACCGATTTCCCTCTTCTGACTTCCAGGACAGCATCAGCTTGTTGCTGGAAGCTGTGAGGACCAAGAATGAGGAGCTCGCGCAGACCTGGAAGAAATCGGAGCAATGGGCCACCATCGAGCAGCTCAAAAAAAATAATATGGGAGGTTCCTTGTCCCTCAGGCGAAAGGACAGCCCGGTGGCGCTGGGCGGGGGGACGGCAGCCTGGGACCCGCAGGGCCGAGCTGTGGGGTGCCCAGATCTGCCACCACCTCGGAGCCTTCCCAGGGTGCGGCCTCGGGGCCAAGGCCAGCATCTTGGCAGGGAGGCTCGTG